CCGCCCCGTCCAGCCACCCGCTCAGGTGAATCCCGGTGTCAGGAGCGGGAGAAACCCGCGGGCCGTGGCAGGCCGCAGGGACGTTCCCCGATCCGGCCGTCGCTGCCGGGTGCGGAGGGAGCCAGTTCGTTCCCTGACCTGCCAATGTCCCTGCAGAGAGGGCAGCGCTTCCTTGGGCTATGTCGAGTGATAGGTGTCGTTTCCACATCGCCCACGGAATAAAACCCCTACCTCTGGCTTAGATAATGCTCAGTGATTCTGCAGAAGAGATCCAGATTTCGCGGCTAGTGCTATTCTGAGTTAGCTCGGGCGCATTTCATATTGCCTCCTTTCAAAAAGAATCAGCCTTCAAATGCATGTGCAGGTACCTCCAGGCCACCAGCTATCCCCTGCTGACTACAGAGTATCACCACATAGGAGATGCTTGAGCAGGTTTCAAACTCCGAAGTATTCTTGTAGCTTTCTACAGATGTTATGACTGAACAACCTGACTTAACACTTCTCTTTGTCTAAATCTTTCTATTGTTGCTCAAGCTATAACAAGACTTCAGTATTACTGACCTGGGTAGCACAGTTTTTAAACACAGTAAAAATACCTTTCAAAACCATAGTGTCTTTCTCACACTTCTATGAAGAGTCTGAAAGTAAGTCAGTTTATTGCACTTAGTTATGTTCTGTATGGAGATTCTGTTCAGTGGTTAACAGCAACATTTTCAGCTGTGGCCTCTGAAGTTGTATGCATGGATCTCCATTTTTTGATGCCCAAACATAATATACCTTGTACGTTAATTTAAGAACTGAGGGTCCTCAGCCCCTTTGAAAAATAAGGAAAGTCCAAGGTATATGGGTTCTAACACTCAAAACTTGACACACACAAAATAAGCAAACACTTCTCAAAATACAGCGGCATAGGTGTAACGGGCCACATTGTAGGCCTCAAATGTGAGCGACTGCTTGCAAGCATTGTGCAATTCTTTGCTGAAAGATATCCTATTTTTTCCTGTTGCTAATAATACTAGCAGCTCAATTCACTGTTGCCATGAATTAAAGGACAATTTTTAAACAATCAGATTGAATTTCAGAACTTCTAGGATTTTCTTAAAAAGTGCAATACTTCTTAAGCAAACTAATTATAAGTTATAAAAAATGCCATGTCATTATCCTTCTAAGAACAGCTGCGTGCTGTGCATAATGTCTTAGACCCCCTGGCCTGTAATCACATGTGCTCATATAGCTTTATTATGTGAGTAATTCCACGGAAGTTTTGGCAGGATTGGGCTCTTAGTAAAGCAATGCTTGTGATGGATATACTATCATATAAACTAGAGTTACAGACTATGATAGCATAAAAGTTGTATTCAACACCAATAGTGGAAAATATATTTTAGATTTCATCTTTCCAATATTTGAGCTTTCATTTTTATGCCTTTGTATAAATGTTATAGATGTAACACCAATTTTATTTTAAAGTTACACACAACTTACAAAATGTGTGGAGAATGGACTTTCAAATGTAGAATATTAGAACATACTCTATACTATTCCTATTAATAAAATGGTGATAAATAAAGGCATTGTGCACAGAATGTAAAAGGACAAGGACAGAAATAGATGATGTAAAAAACATCATTTTCAGCTGTGTATGCTTAAAAGTATAGTTGAATAATTAGAAAAAAGTCTGCACCCCTGCCCCCAGAAAAGTTTTGCTTTATTAAATTTGGCTTTGGAAAATTCATATTTTAGGCTACTTTCAACACAGTGGTTTTATTTGCCTGCCTAGGCATTAATTAAAATCTGTGTAACTGCATTAATAACTCAAATGCTGTCTCTCTTGCTCCCTAATTCAGAATATCCTTAAAAGGCAATAAATATCAAAGAAGAACATGATAATATGATTTTTGCAGTGTTAACTGGCTTTAATAGAACAGTTCCAATAAGGTGCAAAGTAGATTTCATATTGCATTTTCAATGCACAATTTTCTTATTAGCTCATTCACTTAAGTTTGAAATTCACTAAAATATGGTTAGTCAGTGCTAAATATTCTGTCCGACAGTAAGACTGATGTGTCCATGCCCCCAGTATCTTGCAAAGGAAATACTGTCTCAACTCAGATAGACTGGCATGACAGGAAGAGAGACCACTGTGTCTTTGTTTAAGCCAATCCACTGGATAGGTATCTGGAACAGGTGGGATTTGGGGAAGCCAGTCTTCATACTACAAAAGAACTACAGTGAAATATGTCCTGTGTTTGTGGATTACAAAATGAATGTCACTTTCTTAATCTCTAAAGGTGTCCATGCACAAACTTGATCCTGGAAGCTCTGTATAGAAAGGGTGGATGTAGAATTTCTTCTATACAAAGGAAGTGATGAGCCTGAAACAGTGGGCCTGATTCAGTATTCTTGTTATATGCCAGTTTAACTAAAATCAGTGGAGCTTCACTGACCAAATACTGGAGTAAAATAGGGGGAATCAGGATCTCTTTTTTAAACAGAACTTCTAATTGCAGAACAGGGATAAGACTATACCACATTAACTAAGGATTTAGTTTGGGAGATAAGAGAATACAATTTGAAATTAATCGTGATCATTATACTTTGTTAACACCAGCAATTTACAAAACACAGTAACTCTGTGACTCACTTTACACCACTTGCTTCTGGGGAAAATACAGCACACAGATAGGACCAGGCCTGATTCTGGCAGCCATAATTTGTGGAATGATATTTTATACCACAAATCCTGCAGAATCTCATTCCTCATGAGAAGGGATGCCAGAATGGAGCCCTACACTGAGCTACTTCACATAATCCATCCCTGTATGTAGTACATGGTCACTTCAGAGTACTAGATCTTGCAGTCTTTACTCAAGCAACCCTCTCATTGACTCATGTCAGGCTATTTTGAGCTGAGGCAGTACCCCCTTTACAACATGATGATCTTTGTGTGGGTCCATTTCAATCCTCAGTCCTATACATGAATAGGAATTTTGTCTGAGTAAGGACTCTACAGAATGAGGCCAGAAATCCTCAGCTATGTGCTGTCACATGCATTAGGCATAAAACTACATTTGAAACTCACATTTTTAGCTTCCCACATTAATCATCTTCTAGTGTCTTTGGAACCCAATTTCAGACTTTGTTCTGTATTTGGGCTTCAACAGGTTGAAAGCTTTGACTAGTACACTATAATCTTGCACCAACAGTTCCATAGGAAAACACAGAGATGCTTTGTAAGGCTCCCATTCATTTCTAATTAACCGAAGCCTTAAGTCTTAGTTTATATGCAAGTATTTCCATTATATTTTCCCAGTGCATCATTTTACACACTTTCTAGCCAGAGCAGCTTTGCAAACAGAGCAGCTTTGAGTAAGAAGAAACTGAAGAGGAAAATAGATTTTTCTGGGAGCTTGACAGTTTTGGTTCGCAAATGCTTCTCATCTTAAGAACTCAGTAACACAACCACATTTATATGTGCAAAGATACTTTATACAGCATTGGGGAATGCACAGAAGGTAATTATGTTCTACTGACATTAATATAAAAAGATGAATATACAAAGTACTTAAAGAAATGTGATTTCAGAGTTAAGCAGCTTATATAAATAGTTGTATTTAGAGAAACTAATTAATTGAAATCCTTGTGGAGCTAAGATAAATAGAATTCCATTTGTGAATTTCATTTGCAATGAAAACATTTAATAAATGTGAATAATTTTGAAAGGGCAATGTTCACAGACCTGGTTCTTGTGACTCATTAGAGTAGTTTTGTAGAAGCATAAATTGAACAGAACTGAAGTTTTTATTTGTAAGGATTTGGATTATGAACACATAATCTGTGAAATGCTGATAGGCAAATATCAGCACAATATTTTTCTCATAAATTACAGCAATGGCCATTGCAGGAAAAGAACTTCATGCTTGCTTAGGTTAGCTGTTACTTTATTAACAGGCCACCATTAAGAACTAATGCCTAAAAGCAGGTAATACTCGTGAGTTGATTCTTATAACCTGTTCTATTGCTTGATCCTAAACTCACTGGATTAAATTAAAATACTTCTACAAACTTCAATGAGGTTTAGGTCACACTGGATGTGTCTATGCGAGACACTACATTGCTATAGCGATGAGCTATGGTGACATAGTATCTGTGGGCACTACCGTGATGCTGCCGGTACTGTGCAGTAGCAAGGAGCTACTGCATAGTAGCTCCTTGCTACTGCACAGTCAGATCGAAAACAACTCATGAGCCACTGGGACTGTGAAGTACTGGCATATACTGTGCAGTCATTTAGTACTTGCTTTAGCTTTAGCTTTGCTTGCTTTAGCTTTAGCAAGTACTAAATGACTGCACAGTACCAAATGCACAGTGAGGGGCACATGTAGATATGCCCACTGTGAATTAAATCCTACTCTAGCATATCAGAAACACCATAATGGCTATTTTGTACACAAATATATATATAGAGAGAGACTTCCCAAAAGTAAATCTGGGAGCTTTACTTTTTCCAAGCCAACCTTTTAGTAGCTATCAGTGATTTACTTTTGGAATGTACAGTACTTACTTTCTCTGCTTTCCAGTTCCTGTAAGATTGGAACATCACAAACCCCAGACTCTAACTGCCTAAGGGGGAGACTTGGAGACTCTTTCCTCCATTTTAGGGCAATCAAATGCAATTTTTGCAGGCATTTCTGGATCTGCCCCATATTTCCACTGAAGATACAGGCCATGTAACTAAGTTCCTGCTCCTTGGTTACATTGGTCACTGAACTGTGGATCAAATTGACAAAGCTCCTGTAGTTATTTTCACCTACAATTATTTATGCTCACAAAACAGTGACTCCTGTAAAAGAATCTTGAAAATTTAGCCCTATTTTTGGCTTATTACCTAAGCCTCGTACAAGGATTGTTCATAACAAAATGACACTAGGCAATACTTGTTTAGTATCCTTTACTCCATTTCAGTCCCCAAACAACTAGATTCATGCTAAACAAGTCCCTACAACCATCTGAAATGGAACATTCTCCAGCCATAGTGTCCTGAGCATTCAGAACAAGTGCGCATTGGTTTTCCTGCCAAAGTACCAAGTAAAGTTCCTCATTTTCCAGTGGGTGCAAGGGCTTTTGCTACATGCTATATCTGATAAAGCAGCATTTTAGAACAGTTGAGTTTAGCCTGGGGAATGTCCAGTCCTGTTTTAGTTGGATTAGCAGTTCCATGATGGTTCCCATCACCAAGATGGATGATGCTGAGATATAGGCATCCATGTCATTGCATGTTGTGGATGAGGGGGCATAAGCCAATTCCACTACATACACCCAATTCCTCCCCAGGTGATCTGGATCGCACCCCATTCGAATGCTAATTGTGAGACCTGCGTCTTACTGGCCACCTGCTTCCACGCCCAAAACACAGTGCCCTGCCCAACAGTCCACATGGCTTCAGGGCACTCCATCGGGATGAAACTAATAAAGAAAGTCAGAGAGGTGAGTGAATGGTCTAATAGCACCCAGGTTGCATTCTGAGCACCAGCTGCTTAGAGCCTGGACATTGCTGTCCAGAAACTCAATCATGGTTCTCAAGCTTGTTACTTGTCCTAGAGGAAAGAAGAGCTTGAGTCATGAGGGATTCCCATCAGGACAAATGATTAGATCTTTAGAAACAGGAATTCATTACAATTCGTGTCAACCTTCTTATGCTTGGAGCACAGGGGGAAGTAGACAAGTTCCCCTACACTATGGGCAGACCATAGTGAGTGTCTGTAGTCTCTATCCTAATGGTAGGGACCATTCAGTAGGCAGTGGGCTATAATTTCATCCCTGTCAGCTTTCTGGCCTCTTAATAATTGCACCTACAGCCTAGGAGACTTATTGAGCAGTAGAAATGCTAGGTTTATCTCCACTAATATGGCTCATTAGCAACGGTATTGACCCAGTAGCTTTCTCCCAGCTTTGATGAGCCAGCAAGATTCCAGGGAGCCCCTGCTTCCACAACTTTCCTTTCTAATGATCCTAGATTTTGTGTGAATTATATATTGCTAAATATACTAAATAAGGCAGAGGTGGGGTATCACTTCTATACTGTATTAGGTAAACTGTCTTTTAAAAGTTTTGCTGAATACAGTATTTTTTGTCTATCAGTGTAGGGGAAAAAGTTCATAAAGTTCATATTTATATATATGATGATACCTCCAGTTGTGACTCCAGTTGTGATGTAGTCAAAGTGGAATTTTGCACTTAAAGCATATGTGATTTCATTTTAGTCAATTTTGTATCAAACAGGGTTTACTAGATCTATTTGGGATATTTGTAGAATCCCCAAGACCATAAACAACTTACATAGTATCATATTTTATAAATCCAATTTTGAATTGAAAATACACCCTAGAGCATCACTGTATATACAATGCTTATACATCACCTGCCTTTAAGGATAGAAGAAAATATCTTAGGCTGGAATAGTATTCTATGCTTTCATGTGGACCATAAGGTGCAGAACCCATTCTGTCATGAAAGTCATTTAAATTCATCCCTTTCTTTTTGAAAAAAAGCATATGAAAACATTCAACCCCTGGAAACACATTTGTTTGATTTTTAGAATGATCATTGATATTTGTTCTGTTTCTTCTCTCTTTTCCTGAATTTTTTTGTAGTGGATTTCTTGGCCTGTTTTTATCTGTTTGGATTTTAAAGAAAGTTTTTCATGTATATTTTTGCTATATTTTGATTTAATGAAGAAGTAAAATGTCTTCAATTTCCTCAGACAGGGATTGTTGGTATGTAAATCAACTTTCTTTTTAATATTTTCAAGAACAGCTTTTTCTTTTTATAAAGACTCATATTTGAAATGTTATGACCAAACATAATGAAAAGGCATCTTGATGAAAAATGCAACTATAGTTCCAGCATTCAATGATTATTATCTGGTTTTTGTGTTTTTTTTGGTGAGGCTGGAACTGTCTACGGTATGAGAAAGGGAATAATTTTAATTTAATAAAATATCACATTAAGCATAGAGAGAGGAACTGGTTCATTACTACATTTTATAATTATGTATCATAAATGTACCGTGTAAATTCAATGTATTACAATGAACATTGAATTTTAGTCACAAAGGACCTTGACTGGTGGTATAATTGTTCTGTGAAGAAAATGACTGAAGAAATGAGAGTCACTGAACATGGACAGCTAGTTAATTAAATATTTGGACCCAGATTCTATAAACATAACCTAACTCACATGAGTAATTGTGTTGACTTCAGATATAGAATTGCTAGTATTTCTCCATGTCATTTATATATAAACCACATATCTTTCAGTTCCTGAAGGGCTGCTTAGAAGTTTCACAGTCAGAAAAATTAAGAATACATCCTGATTTGATATTTCTTGAGTAAAGAAAAAGCACATGTAAATCTACATTTGTGTTGTTAGAATTTTTAAATGCTCTTATATTACAAATGTTACAGTCTAATACTGTGGTGCTCAACCTTCCAGCCCTGCAAAGTGGATGAATGGCATGATGGCAGTCTGTAGGCCAGATCCAGATTTGCTCAACACCTAGAGGTTAGTCCCTTCACGCTGGATCTGGTTGTGCAGCAAACCCATGCACTACGGTGGCAATCAGTGCTGCCACTGATTATCTGCCACAAATTTCCAGAGCTATAGGGAGCCCCACAGTGAATAATATCACCCCATGGGCCAAATTTGGCCCCAGAGGCTGGAGGTTGAACATTACTAGTCTAATACTTATACTAGGCTGAAGCTGAAGTATTGCATTAGAAGGTAGTGTTCTACTTATAACAAGTTGTTCAACATTTTAGTCAGGTTAAAATTTTCGTGTGGACACTGAACCTATATGATGATCATTTCCTTCCTTTCAACTTTTTAAAATTCATCTTTTGCTGCTTCTAGTTAGATCAACAAAAAACACGTCAGTTGAACATCAGTTAGAAACAGGAGCATGCACAGGAAAGGTAGTTAATTTCTGGAAGCTGGAAGCACTGGTAAAATAGTATAATAATGAACAGTCTGATAATGAAAAGTCATTAGGTTTGCAGAAGCCACCCTAACTAGATTATTAAAATGTATCTGGGTACTCCAGTGACACAATTTACCGTTGTTAAAATTGATTTTGATAAATATCTTCCTCTGAAGAGATTTAGCATAAAAGACCCAATACCATAGGCCTTACATGGAACTCAGTTCTGCACATTCTTACTCATTGAAGTAATTCTGATTCCCATGGGTAGCTCTATTAACATCACTGGAACATTCATATAAATATACATTTGTAGGATCATGCCATTTCTCCTGCTGATGCCAAAGGCCTGAGTAACAACTGCAGAATTTAGCCCTAATTCTGTTAACTACAATCATTATCAAAATATTATTTAATGTTATTTATTTTAGAAGGTTAGAAAAAATGTAGATGTATTAATTGCATATTTAGGTAATGGCACTTTCTTAAATGAGATTTCCATTACATGCTTGTTGCTGATGTTTTACTTGGAAAATTTGTTTACTATTCCCTTGGGAATCCATACATTGGTTTGGTTTATAAATCATATTTACCATCCAATTAAAAGGAATGATTTAGCCTGTTTGCTTCCTTTATGCTCCTAGTTAGAATTTCATTGCTTCTAGTCGTGTTACCGTAACCTTTTTGACTCATTATATGCACGTCACTAAATAAGTTTAGTATAGTTCTATGTATTTAAGATGATTTACTCTTCTGGGCTGCACATACACATTCAAATAACCTGAGAGATTTCTCCCAGGTTTGCTCTCTGGGTAGACATTGAAATACTGAGGCTGCAAAGACTGGAGACCTTGCAGTGCTGACACTGTGCAGCTGGGGGCAGGAGGGGTAGGGGTGGTAGGGTGAGCTCTGTATACATCTCAGCCTGCCTGGCAACAGACTGCATCATGGCTGGGGCAGCCCTGATTGGCTAACCCAGGCTGCTCATGGTCAGCCTACATTTCCGTGAAGTGCAAGTGGGGTTGTGAAGGGGGAGTGTTCTGGAGCAGTAGAGTCCAGTGAATGACACACACTGTCCTTATAGCGGACAGGAAGAAGTTGGAGGACTATGTTCACTTCTGAGAGAAGCTGTGGCATCTACAGACAATTACTGTCCCAAGAGACTCTGCCCTGGTTGTTCTCAGGTTATTTTTCTCCTGAAGTGGCCATTTTACTGTGGGAGAAAAAACCTGAAAATCTGTATACTCATGGTTTCTCCTGGGAGAGCAGCAATTTTCCCAGGAGAAACAAAGTCTCTGTGAGGTCCTAGTCAAAGGACTAGGTATACAACAGTGCTCTCTGCCGTGCCTTTCTTTTGCTGTGGAAAAATATTGCTTCTTCAGAAGCTACTTTAACAAATGTCTTTTCAGAATATAGAATATACCTGTTCATAGTTTGCAGAAATTGTTTAAGCTTTTTATTTTGAAAAATCAGCGTTAGAAAATGTCTTTTTTGTGGAGTTACAGAGTTAAGACTACTAGCAACCTCTTGTTTTATAGCATAACTGCTCTTTTCAGAAATACAAATGTGATTCATTTGATACCTTTGCTAATTTGATAGAATGGCTCCATGTTTGAGTGTAATGGTAATATGTGAAGTTTGGTGTTCTGAAGAGAGAGGGGTTACATCCAACCCAATATTAAAATTGAAAAATGCAAATGAAATAACACCAGAGGTCTATTACTTTACTGACCACAAATAAAATTCCTGTCGACTCCAGTGGGTAAGCTTGGTTTGGGTCATAACTACTTGGTCAAGCTCATTAGTGTTGGTAGTCTGTGTAGTGGAGGAAGACATTGTGCAAAAAAAAAGCGCTCTCTCAAAAAAATTATAGTTTGTTTTTCACAGAAGTATAAACTACTTCTTCAGAATGAAGGCTCCAACTATCTCATAACATATCATAATGAATACCAGAGCAATGGTTTGGTAACTGAGAACAATGGAAGGTATTCATTCAAAATATTAAGAGCTAGTTGCATGGTTGGTCTTTAACACTTACATTAAGATCCACATTTTATTTTATTTGTATGAAATACAGGACCAAATTCTGCATTCTTTTATACTAATATGATTTCTGAAATAAATTCATTTGGACTATTATAATTAATAGTACCAGACATTAATGTAGCATCATAACTTTGCATAGTTCACAGATTTATTGGCTTCAGGCCAAAAACCCAGCAAGGAAGGTTCTTCATTATCAGATCAAAATTTTGATGCTCACAGAACATACGTATAGCAGACAAAAGATGAGATAGGAAAGAAGAACTGGGGATGAAAACCTATGATAATAATATAAGTTATTCACTGATGGTATCCAGGATTTCCACTGGAACAACTCAGAACTGAATTTGGTCCATCCAGTTTCTGTGGGACAACATGATCAAGATCAGACAAAAATGAAAGAAATAAGATAGAGTCAGTATAGTCTGTGAGAGAAATAAAAGGGATAGTTCAAGGAATTTGTTCCTTCTAAGTGTTAAGGCAGCATCACTGAAGTTAATGGGAGTTTTTCCAATGAACTTTGATAGGGAGAGGGTTTCTTCCTTTTTAAATGGTTAATGTTAGCTGCCTGTTACCAAGACAGTTGTGGGTCAGACATCAGCCACTGTCCCGTGTTTTCCCAAAACCTTTCTACTTCACTTTAAATTAAAAACAAACAAACAAACAAACAAAATCAAACAAATTTGCAACTAACATTTTTGGGGCCAAACCCTCAGATGGTGAAAAATGGAGCAATGGTGACTTTAACAGAGCAATTCTGAATTGCACCAACTGAGGTTCTATTGGGCCTAGTACTTTTAAATTAAGATACTCCTTTCATTTGCAGTTGTGTGAATTAGGTATAAATGCAGCACAAGACAGAATAGAATGTTGACAATTTACATGCAGAGTAGTGAGGGCCTGTTTTGTTAACTTTACAAGCCACAAGGAAGTCACAGGTTCTAGATGTAGAATATGACTTAGAAATTTTGACAAGTGAGTCCCATTTAGCTTTTGAACAAACAGGAATGCTGAGACGATGCAACAATTAAAAGCAAATGTTTCCCCTGGTCTTCCTAGGAACTGGACAGTAATTACTTTCAATCAAGGATCTTTATCGTTTCCCAGTCAGCTAGAAATACATGTTTGTTTGTTTGTTTTTAAATTAAATTTCCCTTTCAAAGCAATGGTTTAAATTAAGAAAAAAAATATTTACAAAACTTTAAAAAGTTGCACTAAATTCAGCACTGAAAACAAGTTCTAAAGGTTTTGCAAATCCATAAGCACCATAGGGTTCTCTCAGTCCTAATTATCCATGTTTGGATTTGCGTGTTCATTTCCTCCAATTGAAATACGCAGGATGAATTATTCATCCAATGCATACAAGGTCATGGAATTTAATCCCTTCCATTTATTTTTAAGTGAATGTAGTGCTTGTAAAAAGTGCCAGACTGACAGATGAGATTCAACCTTTCTGTTAACCTACACAACTCAGAATACAGTCAGCATCAATGAAAGCTTCCTCTCATTGCCTCATCAAAACTAATCTCAAGAGCAATCCACTTTCCATGCCAGTTCAGCTTTTGGCATCTTTGTTGAAACTGCCCATGAGAGGGCCAACTTATGGTGATGGCATTTAAAGGAAAATCATGGAGAGACTGGAACTAGAATAAGACATTTAGAATAAGATGCATTTATTTAAAGCAAGGGCATAAAACTCATTTAGCCCTGTGAACCAGATGAAGGGCATGGGATCAGTTCATGGGCTGGATTGGGTCCACAGACTGATCTCATGCACCAGATCTAGCATTCAGGACCAGTCTGGTGCAGTGCCAGATGCAGCATGTGTCCTGGACTGGCCCCACGTTAGGTACGGCACACAGGGCCAGTCCAAGACCTGCAGGCAGAATACAAGCCTTGCCTTTGATATCTCTGATTTAAAGAATTATCAGGTAATAACACAGTGGTTCTCAACCTTTTAGAATCAAGACACACCTCGTTAGACTCAAATCACCTCTTGTGAGATCAAAGGAAAATGACAGCTCTCCGTTTTCTCTTGTTTTTTGATCACAGAAAAATAATTGAGCAGTTCTTCTGTTGCAAAGAACTCAGAAAGACCACAGCAGGTCAGAATGCTTATAACACTATGGATTTCTATTTGAAACCTCCATGTGTATCTTGTGAACCATGACTAACATTGCATGGCACCCATGGCACCCTTGAAGGGGTCTTAAGACACCCTGGGGTGCTGTGGCACCCTGGTTGAGAATCACTGTGATAACAAATTTCCATCATTTCCAGGCAAGGACTCATTTGAATTGATATCCAAAAGGCAAAAGAGTCCATATTGACCAAAAATCATCACTGACATTTCACTCTAAATCTCAAAGCAATGTATTTGAGTATTCGGTTAATATCAAAACATACTGGGGGCATCTACATGTGCACCCCACTGTGCAGTACCCGCTGGTACTGCGCAGTCCCCGCAGCGCACAGGACATTTCTGACCCTACTGTGCAGTAGCAATGAGTTACTGTGCAGTACTGGCAGCATCAAGGTTAGTGCCTGCTGATGCTATGTCACCAGAGTGATAAGCGACATCGCCATAGCTAGTTGCTACGGTGATATAGCGTCTTGTGTAGATGCACCCACTGAATTATAGTAGTTTGGATTAAAAAAAAGAGGTAGAAGCAAATAGTCTTAATTTGACAATTATAAAATCAGGCTATATTTTTATAGTTTGTCTTTTAAAAATAAATATATATTCATTCAAATATGATCTATTTTGTTAAATATCAACCTAGGTAAAATTCAATTCAAAACAATACGCAAGTGGTTCCAATAACTAAAATAATTGGAATGGAATCATACTAGGGAAGACCCTTGCAAAGATAAATAGGAGTAGGTGGCTGTGTGTATGTTGACCTATCATGTTGGAAAATCATACAGATTCTTTGCTGATGGCCAGATATGTTTCAACAACTGGAGTATCAGACCAGGAAAAACTTATTGACAGTTTTGCATGTGAGCAGTCTCAGTAGATTTATTAATTAAATTTTCGGGGACTTGAACTGTAGAAAATAATTGAACTTAGGTGCCTAAGTTGCTTTAGACACCTAATTGATGGAACAGTGTCTGGTCCCAAATGACTCCCAAGAAGTATTTTAGGAATCCCAAGATCTTTTCATCAGAATCCAACCAGGGTGGTGCCAAGTACTGCAGCACTGTTATGGAATGTCACACAAAGGGATCTGGTTTGTGGTAACCACATAGAGTCCAAACAACTGGGGACAGGTTTGGTTTAGAGGAATGAATGCCCAACTAGTTCCATTAGGTACACAAGTCTTGGCCTCCTATCAGAAAAATTCAGAGGAAACTCCACAAGGGGCCCTTCTAGATCTGTTTTCCTCCTAGATCTTCCTAGGGTTTTCTGAATTCTCTGTCCTATATTCACATTATGGCTGTGCTTTTTGTGTTTTATCATCTGTATCTAAAAGCTCCCCTGCCCTTCTCTTCCTGGTGTTATGAAATACTTTCAGTTACCATTAAAAGAACTACAGGAACTGCTCATTTGTGTTTCATGCTGTGCAGAAGAGTGCTTTATAATATCGGACCAGGCTAGGGAGTCTTCAAATAATGACAACCTATTAGGAGCTTTTAGACCAAGTATTATTATTTACCAATAGAGTCAGTAAAATAATATTTCTCATTAAAATAAGTGTATTAATGTGTAGTGCAGTTTTCCAAGGATTTTGATTATTGACTGTTGGTGAAAGCACAACAGTTCAGGTCTCAGGAAGAACTGTATGTCAGAAACACAAAAGGGAACATATAACTAGAGCTGAATTTCATATCACAGATTTGGATTTGGATAAAAAGGAAATTTCAATTTCAGTTAAATATTTATAATTTTTGAAAAAAACCCCTAACAATTTGCTTTTCCTAATGTATAAATTGTATTAATAAGCCTGTTAGAGAGAGAAGGCTGGATTCTCCTCTTTTATACATTCACTTTTTATGCTGTATTGACATCAGTGAGGTTATTTCTTATTTTTATTAGTGTAAATAAGAGAAGAATCTGTCACAGTAGAATTGTGCTGGTGTAGAACATGTCTATGTGAGATTATAATTTGGCTTATACAGTCAAGAAAGAACCACAGTGTGTGTGTGTGTGTGTGTGTGTGTGTGTGTGTGTGTGTGTGTGTGTGTGTGTGTGTGTGTGTGTGTGTGTGTGTGTGTGTGTGTGTGTGAGAGAGAGAGAGAGAGAGAGACAGAGAGAATTGGGTGGGGGTGAGGGGGGAAGCAGAAATCCAGACAGAGAAAACCAGGCAAGATAAAAAAATCTTAACATGGTGTGACATTTAATTAGAAACAAAATTGTTCCCTCTTTGTTACTTCTCTCCATTACACAGTATGGACCCCATTCGCCAAACTATTCAAGTTTGTGCTCAAACTGAGTGGAATGGAACTATAACACATGCTGTGAGTTTTGCTAAATCAGGACTAAAAGCAACTCTATTTTACTTGTGCAGTAATATGCCTTCCTTTTAAAAAAATAATACTGAAGCATTAAACAGTTCTACATGAATTAAAATTTGAGGAAGAAATGACCTTGTTTTGCATATATGAAGATGAGGAGATGTTGACAGTGTATGGGTTAAAAAGTGCCTGTAAAAGACTGAATGGTATTCATTTATTTTTTAAAAAATCATTACCATTCACCTACAAAAAACTTGGGGAAAACAATAAGATGCTTGCAGTAAATACTCAACTCTATACTTGTTCTGTATAAAGATGAACCAGTAAGGCAATGGGAGTTCATCTGCAAGAACATATACCAAAAAGCTAGGAAGTGAATTTAAAAAGACACCATGGCTAAGAATACTAGGAGCAGGTACAGCACTTTTCAAGCACAGATCTAAACATCCTGTACAAAGCTGGGGAAGTATTATTATCTCTCCACAATACCAGTGGGAAAACTGGGGCACAGAAGGGGAGCTCCTGGTCCCTTGGAACTCAGTGGGAGTTTTGACGTTGGCATCAATGAGATTAAGATTGCATGCAGTGAACTGTCCAATGTGACAGACATATCAGTGGCAAAACCAGGTACAGAGCCCGGGTCTCCTTCCTTCTTGTCCGCTGCGCTTCCCATTAAGGTGTAAACATTTAAGAATATTATTCATTCATTTTCTCTGAAACAGAAAAAATATATCTGTATATTTTTCCCTTCCCTTTCAGGCACCAAATGGCCTCCCAGCTGTCAGCAGTTTTGTCTCAGCACCAACTATGGCTCCTTATCCTACACCAGCCCAGGTGTCACCTTATATGACATATAGTGCTACCCCTTCTGGTTACGTGGCAGGCCATGGCTGGCAACATGCCGGGGGCACTCCGCTGACACCTCACAACTGTGATATTCCTGCATCATTGGCATTCAAGGGCATGCAGACAGCCAGAGAAGGTAGTCACTCTGTCACAGCCTCTGCTCTCTGATACAGGATTCCTTCTAGAAGAACCGCAACTCATCCTTGTTTCTCCCCCTCCCTTAATCCTGACTCCCAGACTGATCTTTTGTGTTGGTGACATTTAAAATCCCTGCCCTCCCACCTCCCCATCTCAGACTTTTCTCCCACAAAATCTGTGGGACTGAAAGCATAAAAAACAACGTAAGAAATGGATAGATGTGTGCTGTTGCCCTTGCACTGTTTTAAGTAAAGAAGATCTTACATCCCTCAAAGGGCTCATGGAACTCTTGTCTATTCATCGGTTAAACCACACATATTTATTCTTGATCAACAAGAACTTTTTAAATGTGCAATTGTTGTTGAGATTTATGTAAAATCAATAAAGAAAAATCAACACAGAAATACATGTTATGCCTCTAATCAGCAAAGGCGACTAATCAGAAGTTATTTGTCAATGATCTGTCTCTAGAGAAGAAAATCTTTATCAACAAGGTTACACAATCCACTGTTATTGTTAAGAGTTTTTTGTTTATTTGTTTAGTTTTTGGTAATCAAATATAGAAGCAAAGCAATATGTGGCTCTCAGATTCTTCCTGTATTTCATCATGGTTACAAAGACAGTAACATGTTTGTATTTTTTACCCATTTGTAAATATAGGCTTCGGTCAGCATTTGTGTTTCCACCCCACAGTACATTTCTACTTTTTTTTTATGTTAAAGGGTGACTTTCTAGCTATTTTCTGTGTCTTTGCTTGGTGTTGGCAACAGCCTCTGATGACTGAGGCTTAGGCAGGTTTTTTTTAATCATGTTTTGTGCATACAGTGCAGGTTTCAACATCTGAAGAAAGACATTTTGTTTCTTCAGCAGAGGAGTCAAAGCAAACAACCAGATAAGTAACTCTCCTAACCTGTACCAATCCTCACAGAATCATGATACAACTAAGTGTACAAAAGAGAAAAGGGTGGAAAATATCTGAATAAACCTGAGACCCATAGAGAGAAGCCTAAGTTTAATGTGAAATGTGTGCAGAGACACTTAAAAATCATTTAAAGTTAACATAACCACTGTGAAACACAGCTGTGTTATCATTGTTGGCTTACCTGTGTTCAGCAGTTTCAGGCCCAGGTTTACATTGTCATTCTTAAAAGGAAAACTTGTCTTAACGTTTCTGCTTTAATGAATGTCAAAAATGGCTCTTGGTAAAGTTTACATTGTTTTACATAAGAAGCATGTTTCACTCATAGTTTTATTGGTGTTGGTACTACAAATACATATTATTTAATATTAACAAATTCCCTTTCTGTATTTCTGTGTTCACTGGCAAAAAAATCTCTGTCCTAATTAGTCTGCTTTAATTTTTTCCTTACTTTCCATTAACCCCCAAGAGAGCTAATATTCTGGACCTTCAAAACATACCTGTTTCCCTTGGGTAATAATATTAGAATATTAGTCTAGAAAGTCTACTGCATGTTTGAAGACATGTAAAACATGAGCATGAAAGAGAAAGATTTTAAAATTGGCATAACATTTAATATCCTTCACAGAATATTAATATATTGTGTGTTTTTATAATCATTGTGCAATAATTTAAAACTATATTACTAGACAGAAATTTTAAGTGTTTTCAATTCATCTCTTATTCCTTCCTACCCATATTAAACAATAAGGTAATGCAAAAATGAGATACAGCCATTTCTATACAAACATCATGCTTTTATTTATAACTGGGAAGGCCAGTGGCAGATTTCCATAACTCTACAAAGATAATAATGTATAAATGATATGCATATATTATGTGCAGTGGAATGCAGATGGGTTTTAAGGACCATCATTACTTTTGGCCTTTGCACAAAAAGCCAGTTGAATCAACTGGCCTTTTATACACAGACCACAGGTATAGCCTGTACCTAAAAAAATCAAATACCCTGGGCCAGATTCTGCAGTTCAGCAAATTTTCCATTGATGTAAGCCCCAGTTCAGCAACAGACTTCAGCAGCTATTTAAAAATATGCTTAAATCCATCACTATTCATCAAAGCACATTGATATGTGCTTAATTTAAAGCCAAGCTTAAATCTCACAGCATACAACAAAACTTAAAACACATGCATAAGAACTTTGCTAAGGTGGGGTCTATAATCAGAGGACCTGAAGCTGGTCTCAGTTGTACATGAATGATACTCCAGAGACTTAAATGGAGTTACTTCACATTTTCATTCCACATTAAAGAGGATGGCTTCTTAACTCCAAGCATATGCCCTAGTAACAAACTAAAAGCAGAAATAAAAAATTAAGGGAAAAATAGTAAATAGTTTTGTTGCCAAAATCTGCTGTAGTTTTTGAGTTTTTTAAATTTTAAAGAGAGAGGCAAAGCTTTTAGTGTGATCTATTTTATTGGACTAGCTGAATGGTTGGGATAAAGTTAGATAAGCTTTTGAATACAAGTGATCTGATAAAGAACGCTTTGCGTTCACAAACTCGTCTAACTGCATCCCAACCATACAGTTGGTCTAATAAAAAAAAAAATCACCCTAAAATCCTTGTTTTTCACATAATTCCTGGACCATCACAGTTACATGACTCTAACACTACATAATATTGAATTTTAAACTTATTTTTGAAAAATATAAATCCTGAATGAAAAAGCTGATCTGTATTCAGCAACATCTGTATTCTGTATCAGCTCACAAGAGAAGGCTGAGGGGGGACCTTGTGACTGTCTATAAACTCACTAGGGGGGACCAGAAGGGTTTGGGGGAGACCTTGTTTCCCCCAGTGCCCCCTGGGATAACAAGAAATAATGGCCACAAGTTGTTGGAGAGTAGGTTCAGATTAGACATCCATAGGAACTACTTCACAGTTAGGGTGGCTAGGATCTGGAACCAACTTCCAAGGGAAGTGGTGCTGGCTCCTACTCTGGGGGTCTTTAAGAAGCAGCCTGATGCCTACATGGCTGGGGTCACTTGAGCCCAGTTTCTCTCCTGCCCAGGCAGGGGGTCGGACTTGAAGATCTACAAGGTCCCTTCCGACCCTACTTCTATGATTCTATGATT